AACCCCGGGAAGAGCAGCATCAGCTGGTGACCGAGCAGGAAACAAACCAGACACATGGCTCTGTGTCTGACTTTCTGACTCATCGTAGCCTTTACGCTTCTCTGGAGAAGGCAGGTGGCCCAGGGCCATCACGGGCGGGCTCCTGCTATCAGCGCAGCTGCACGAACCTGCGGGCGTGGGGGAGGTCGCCGAAAGTCCTGACTGAAGTTGCATGGGGTGGAGCAAGGCACACGAAGGCAGGGTGGTTACATGCACCTTGGAGAGGCGGTATCCCCAGGACCCTGAAGGGCTGGAGATCAGCTGAGTTAGCCCAATGCCAGCGAGGGCGGGTAGAGCCCCTGAAATTCACTCTCTGCTGCTCCAACAGCTCAAGGGCTTGTTCAGACAGAGGCAGCAGCTGGAGTCAGGGCCCAGGAAGCTGCCAAGAGAGCAGAAGGACGAGTGCTCGGTGCAGCAGTGGGCGAAGAAATCGCCAGTGGTAAGAACTGCCTGCCTCAGCCCCGCGTTAGTCCAGCTGCATCTCCCCGCCCAGGAGGAAAGGCCGGGGGCGGTTTGGGGATGTGGGGCACAGGCAGCTGCGGGGGACAGAGGCAGCAGCTGGAGTCAGGGCCCAGGAAGCTGCCAAGAGAGCAGAAGGACGAGTGCTCGGTGCAGCAGTGGGCGAAGAAATCGCCAGTGGTAAGAACTGCCTGCCTCAGCCCCGCGTTAGTCCAGCTGCATCTCCCCGCCCAGGAGGAAAGGCCGGGGGCGGTTTGGGGATGTGGGGCACAGGCAGCTGCGGGGTTGACGCCGCCTGTGCCGGGGGACCGGGGCTTCTCCACCAGCACCGAAGACGCCCGGAGCCTCAGGCTGCAACTGCAAGAGAAAACAGAAATGGTACGGCCCTGCGCAGCCTAGGGAACGAACCACCCCAAGCCCGTGGGGAGCTGTAAATCCAGCCCGGGCAGGAGGCAGGTGGCCAGAGGCTGGGAATCAGTTTGAGCATCAGTACAAACTCCTCCCCTGCACCTGGATCCCCCTGCCTCGGATTCTCTGGCAGCTGCCGAAGGATTCTGCCGTTTTCGTGGCCTCCCGGTAAAGCCTGGCCACGTGCCAGAGGCCACCTGGGCAGAGTGCCGGCCGCGGGGTTTCTAATGGCCCCTCTGTGTTCTTCCCAGATCTCTGCCATGGCCGCTGAGATCCAGGGGCTGCAGCAAAAGAACGAGCACCTGATGAAAGGTAGGGTGGCGGTGTTGCCACGGTGCTGGCTGTTCTTACTGGCCCCTAGCTGCTGTTCCCAGCTGTACGGCTGGGCAGGGGGCACTGGGCTGGTGGAGACAGAACCAGGCTGCGCATTTCCAAATAGCCAGTGAAAAATGAAAGCCTGGGGCCTTTCTGCAGACTAGGGACTGATCCTGGGAGGTGCCAAGCGCTCTCCGTCTCCCCCTGCTTTAATGGGGATTGAGGACGCTCAGAACCAGCTCCTCAAGAGTTAGGAGCCTAAATAGCTTTGAGGATCTGAGCCCCAACACCCCCAAGAAGAGAGACTGTGTCTCTCTCAGGGTCTGACACCCCAGAAACTAGATGGAGAGGACATCGAGGCAGGGCCCTAGACACATAGGCACAACAGCCTCCAGGGTGCACCACACTCACGCAATACCAGGCCATGACAGGACGACATTAGCTGGGGTGTTAATAACCTTTGATATTCTCACCGTCACTTATACCGCTGCAATTTTATAGACTAGATTTCAACTGCCCCCAGCTCTTTGCTTTAGTCACATCCTGCAGCAGTGAGTTCCGCAGCAGAACACGTATGCTGCAATTGCAACCAGGGCCTGTTCGCTTTCTAGTTCCATCGGGTTCTCTGCTCCCTCTCCTGCTCTTGCGTTGGAGAAGGCAACGGGGGGGAGGGGGGCTCCGCTTGGCCATTCATGGGGTCCCACAGCGTGAGCTCTGTCCATCCTTGCAAGAACCCCAATAGCTGCAGGGGGGCTGCAGCTGGAGTTAGTCCCGTGGTCTAGCACCCTTGCCCAGACTTGAAAGGAACTGCCACCTAGAGTGTTGCAGTGGAATTGATCTTCTGATGCCGGGTGACAATCTCCTTGCTCTTCTCCTCCCAGCGAAACTGCAGTTTCAGCAGCAAATCCAGGATATCCGCAGCCTCCAGCAGCAGCAACTGGAAAGGAGCGACTCAGACCGGTTGGTTTCTAGGCCCTCCAGCTGGCAGGAGTGGGATGGCTCTGCATATCCAGCTGGGGGCAACCCCTTTGCTTCCTCCTTCTGCCCCTTGCCCAGCAGAGAGGCCCCGTACCTCGCCAGGCAGGCGGGGCTGCCCATGGCAGGAGAGGAGCAACGTTGCTTCAGTTCTGAAAGCAGCAGCAGCCTGTTCCCCAGGCCCCTGGCATTTCTAGGCCCTCCAGCTGGCAGGAGTGGGATGGCTCTGCATATCCAGCTGGGGGCAACCCCTTTGCTTCCTCCTTCTGCCCCTTGCCCAGCAGAGAGGCCCCGTACCTCGCCAGGCAGGCGGGGCTGCCCATGGCAGGAGAGGAGCAACGTTGCTTCAGTTCTGAAAGCAGCAGCAGCCTGTTCCCCAGGCCCCTGGCAGGGAAGCCGTCTCCCCCTTCCTCGCTGCCCCTCCCAGCTTCCTCCACAGCATCGGGGAAAGCCTCCCCCGAGGCCAGATCCTCCCCCGTGAGCCCCCGGGGTCAGCCGATCAGCCAGGAGTCCCCGGAGTCAGCCGATCAGCCAGGCCCAGGAGTCCTCGTACACTCCCAAGGGGGCAGTGCTGCTCTCGCCGAGACCCTTCCGGGCGCAGCGATCCACCTCGCCCTTTAAATTCAGAGTGAGCCCGGAGCCCCCGGGGGAGAGCTGCGGCAGCTGAAGCGCCCTGCCCCGGGAGGTCAGATGATCGCAACGGCCCCCTGCTGGCCTTGGAACCCATGAATCCTGCATGGCTGGGTCCACGTGGCTTTGAATGCTCCGCTCCGTGCCCTCTCCTCGTCCTCTGAGCTGTTTGCCGCAGAGCCTGGCTGGCAGGAATTGGAGCGAACGTGGCGTGTGCGCTTGGAAAGGGCCGTTCCCCCCCCGGGGGGGGATTCCTGGGGAGGGGCTGTTCTTGCACTCGCCAGGCCCAGCGTGAGTTCAGCAGTTCTCACCCGTGTGGTCTGTGAGCAGCAAATGATTCGACGGGCGCGCCCAGTTCTTGCCTCGCCCTCGCAGCTGAGCGCCTGCCGCTCGTGCAGCAAGGGATGGGGCTTCCCTTCACCCTGCCTGCCTCCTGCTTTCGCTCGTCTCCTCCCGGGGGTGGACCATGTTGGCAGACGTCCCCCCCCCTCCGTGTTTCCGCTAGGGCTGATCGCAGGGGTGCGCCTGGCACCAGAGCACGAGGTAGAGGATGGTCCTGGGGGTCAGCCCGGTCTGGGGCTGGTCCCGACACAGCTCTGTCTCCTGCACAATGCAGCTGTTCCCAGAGGGTAGGAAGTACCTCAGTGTCGGAGGAGCAGAGCCCAACCAGGCCTCTTCTGTTCCCCTGGCGACGGGGACCTCGGGTCTCCTTCCCTGGGCAGCTTGGCCTCCTGGGGGAGAGGAGGCTGGCGACAGAGAACCCTCAACGCCAGCTGAGCAAGCCTGCTTAGCTCCCTGCCCCCGTTCCCTTGTCCCTAGCCGCCCTGGCCTGCAGAGCCATCCTGCAACCCCCGCTGGGGGGCGGCACCTTTTGAATGGTCAGCCAGATCTCCCTTACCGCTCACAGCTGTGCCCCCAGCCCTTCCAAAGAGCCAGAAGAGTCGGGGGGGGGGGGGGGGCGCCTGGCCGTGATTGAGTCCCCCAGGGAAGGATTTTTGGCATCGCCACAGATGACTTTGACTTTTGGGAAGGCGTGGTGCCCCCTGGAGCGGTGCTTGCCCCCCGCCCCCAGCCCTCCACGCCGCCCTGCGCTTGCTGTGAAATCCCCGTGGCATCGGGCTCTGGTCGCTGTCCCTGCAACCGATTTCTGCGGGGAGCCACTCCTGGCGCTCGCTGTTCTGCTTCCTGTGTGGATACTGTGTCTGTCTTCCATAAAGGACCGGCATGTGCGCTGCTGCCTCGGACTCTTCTTCCGCTGCGGCCCGAGGGGCGAATAGCCAGGAGGCCTTTTCGTGCTCTGAGCGGGACCTGAGGTCGAGAGCCAGGGTGGCCCCACCAGCTTCTGGGCCAGCCCATTGCGGTGCTAAGGGGGAGGCAGGCTCCCCAGTGTTTGGCATATGGGGGGGGGTCCTTTTTCAGACCAACATCACTCCGCACCCTGCGATTCGCTCGCTCTTAGGAGTTTCTCCTGCCACCGCCGCAGCGTGTAAAATCAACAGCCCCCGCCAAGGTCCTTGTGGCCTCGGTTGTGAAACACCCAGTGGCTCCCCAGCTCCACTCTCTCCCATATTCCACCTCTCTCATGCAGGCCAGAGCTGGAACAAGCTAAAGGAGGCTCGCCATATAGGGCCTATGACACACAGGTGAGCAGTCCTAAAGGTGAGAGCAGTGCTGCACTGACACAACAGCTACTGCTCCATGTGTACATACACACAGAGAGCCCCTGCATGCGTCTGTCCCCCCAACACCACCAGCAGGCTGGATTCTTTGGCGCCACTTGGAAGTTCAAGCATAAAAGACCAAAGAAACCCGGTTACTATTGCTCTGACCTCAAAACATGGCAGGAAATGACATCACAGAGGCAGCAAACACGTTCTGAACAAATTCCTTTTATTTGTTTGGAGGGGACAAAGTAGAAGGGAAACACGAAGGTCTAAGCCAGCAGCCAGATGGGGGGCTGCAGGCCTGGGCCCTGCGCTACACTGACGTCTCCCCAAGGCCTTCCCAATGATGTCACTTCCTGTCTGGCATCTTGGGAGTGTGTCTCGCCTCCAGGGAAAGCTGCCGTGTTTTACACGTAACTCTCCAGGCTAATACCCATCTCCCGAGGGTGGGGGAGTGTTTTTCATTGACTGGGATCTGGGGGAAGCGCCTGATCACTAGGGTTGCAGCTTGCTTCGATAAGAGGACATGAAGGAAGAGATGTTGGCCTGATGGGCTGGCCTTTGACAACCTGCGGTGCTGGAGGAAGCATAAGACAACACAGCAATTGGTAGCAACAGCCCAGGCAGCTGGCAATGCCAGCGTTTCCCCGGGCTTGTGCCCGAATGGGGCCACGGCTTAAATTCCCTCTGAAGATTCAGTGACATCAGCACAATCGAAGGAAGCTGGCCTTGCCTGGACTCCGCCAGAGGTCACTCTTTGTGCTGCCGGGCCTCAGCTTACCCAGAGATCTAGGACTCACCGCTGACAAATCATGACTGGTGTGGAGAAAGTGAATAAGGAAAAGTTAGTTACTTATTCCCACAATAGAAGACCTAGGGGTCACCAAATGAAATGAATAGGCAGCAGGTTTAAAACAAACCAAAGGAAGTTTTTCATCACTCAGCGCACAGTCAACCTGTGGAACTCCTTGCCAGAGGAGGTTGTGAAGGCTAGGACTATAACAGGGTTCAAAAAAGAGCTAGATAGGTTCATGGAGGTTAGATCCATCAATGGCTGTTAGCCAGGATGGGCGGGAACGGTGTCCCTAGCCTCTGTCTGGAAATGGGTGATGGGAGGGATCACATGAGGATTCCTTGTTGTGTTCCCTCCCTCTGGGGCATCTGGCATTTGCCGCTGTCGGCAGACGGGATACTGGGCTGGATGGACCGTTGGTCTGACCCAGTGTGGCCGTTCCGATGTTCTTAGGACATTTCATGCCTGATGGGTCTGGCCGCCGTTCCCTACGGGTGGGCGGGAACACACGGGAGGCTGTTGCGATGGCCACGCTGATCGGACCTGCCACACGGAGCAGCAGTAACACAAGTGCAGCAGGGGCCACACCCAGCCGAAAGCAGGTAAAATGTTCCTGACGTCACCAGAGCAGCAGGCTTGGGGCACGTGGCCATAACTACAGCTGGGCCTGCTTCTCCCCGGGCTGGAAGCGTGTCTGGGCCGCCCCGGCTATCTGGTATTTGATCCCTTGCTCTGGGGAGCGGGGACAACCCGCCTGGACTCCTTCTGAGCAAGCCTGGACCGTCAGCCTCAGCACGCGAGACACTTGAAGCTGGCTCCTTCCATCGATCTGGGCTCTTTCCTCTGCTCCTCACGCGCCAGCCCCCGTCTGCTCCTTTGCGCATCCATGTGCCTGTTTCCGTATCCTGCCCTCCTGCTGCCAGGGCGTCTCCACCCTGGCCAAGGCCCCAGGACGGGAGGGTGGGGCTCTCTCTCGTGAATTTCAGACACTTGCTCGCATGCTGTCCAGGTCACTTAGCCGGGACAGTCTCTGGCTTTGCTTCTCGTTCCTTGATGCTCCCTCTCCTGGGGGGTCTCCGGGCAGCAGAGCGGATTGGCTGCGCCTCCGGGTCGAGACAGGACTTGGCACACGACTGCAGTTCCTCAACCCAACTGGGCTGACAGCCGAAGTCCCGGACGCAGGCAGGCAGCAGAGACATCTCCGGCCTCCCGCTCCCGCGGCTGAGCTCCAGTCGGTCCCCTGCCGCCTGGCCAGAGCGCATCAGGGGGAGGGACTGAGCGCGGTCGGCTGGATCACATGCCACCGCGCAGATTCCACGGGCCCTCGGCTGCACATCTCCTGCCAGTGCAGCAGCCCAGCCTGCGGGGCGTGGGGCCCAATCAGCACTCGGCCCAGGGCACAGCTGCGCAGATAGAGGCGCGCCTGTGGGGCGGGAGGAGAAGGGCAGCATGAGGCAGGGGTTGGGGTCAGCAGCGGGAAAGGAGCAGCCCCCAGGCCTGGCAAACAGCCCCCCCAGAAGGACCAGCCCATTCCAACAGCACCCCACACAAGCCCCAGCGTCTCCTCTGCCCAGCCCACCCACG